CCCGCCATTTTCAAATATTTTAAATATGATCATCATGAAAAAATAAAATTAACGCCAATATTAAATTAAATTTCTTTAGATAAACATGTTAACTATATTACTTACATAATTACTTCTTTTATGAAAATGAATTCTGATGAAAGATGAAATTTGTTATTAATGAATGAAGAATAATGTTAAGTACATTTGGAGTATAAAAATGCATATAAAATGAAGTGCATGCAATAATAAATATTACATAAAATGATGAAAGAAAATGAAAGCATAATTTATATAACAATAATTGTACTTTTAAAAAGCTGAAAAGCTAGTTTTCCCTATTTATGAATTAATAAATTACGAATTAATTTATTGTAGATAAGTCTCACAGAGAATGAAGAAAAACACATACAAAATGATGATTATGATTGTTTATCATGAGATAAAGAATCGCGCACATATGATATAACTGACATTGCTCGTCCTTTATATCTGAATCCTGGTGTAAGTAAAAGAATATTCACTGTAACATTCCAATAAAATAAGAAAATTATTTATATATTCATTTTATAAAAAATAATCAAATAAATTATTTAAAAAGCTATTACCTGTTATATAAAACAACAGCAAATTATTAATTGTGCTTCCAATCCATATACAAATAATGAGACAAGTTATTATTCCTGCATAATACTGCAGCATATAAAAATAGTTTATGACAAATTTATAACAGTTTATATTTTCTTTGTAAATATTTTACCTAATATTTATTATTTAAATATTAAATTCATAATTTAACTTACAACATTAGGACGATCATTTCTTGTCTTTAACATTAATTTCCATAGACTTTGTAACTGTAAAATTATGATAGATAAATTTTGGCAAATTTCATTTAATTTTTTCTCTTTCTGGCCAGTCCATTTGTTAACAGGACTTAGCAAAGATGATACAGGTGGTACAAGATAATCAACCAAAGCCAATATAAGAAGAGAGACAGATATTATTGTAAGTATTGCAGGTTCCAACATCCATATCAAACTATAAAAAATAAATATTACATATAACATATAAAAATAATTACTAACTGCCACAATATATAAATTTTAATTTAAAAATTTTAAAATTAATATTAATTTTCATTATTTTATATATCACAATATATTAAAAATTTCTAAAAGAAAAATGAAAAATTTAAAAAACTAGACTATAAATATAAATAATATATTTTTTATAATATTGTATTATAATATTATAAAATATATAATATATAAAATAAATAATTTATAAAAATTTATAATAATTTATAATAAAAAATATATAAATTTTTAATATTTTCACTCACAAAAATATTGTAGTTGTAATTCCAAGTATAAGACCAGGATACCAAGATCGTTCCCATAATAAAATAGAATTTAATGGAAGTATCACTTCACGCCAACATTCCATTCTACGTTTTAATTGTTTCATATGCTTTTCCTGCAATTAGAGTATATTATTTCAGAACAAAAATGAGTGTCACTGTCATTGATTTTTCTACCAGTAGGATTATATGATTTGATATGTAAGAACCTGTTTAATTAATTGTTAAGTAAAATATATTAATTATATTTTAAATATTCTGTATTTTAAAAAAACATATAAAAATCGTACCCTTTCTATTGCTGCACTATCAGCCATTCTAGCTATTAAATAAAATATTCAAATTCGCTCGGAAGAAGCAATATATCAAGACAAGACAAGAATTTAAAAATACGTCCAAGTTACAGTACAATGCAAACACAATATCCAAATTTATATTCCATTTCATTCAAATATTTACTTATTCTTTAATTTAATTATGTGATGTGTCTTTAATAAAAGTCCGAGATGCCGGATACTTTTTGCTTGAAAACACACGAAATGATGAAGAATCGACTTCTAGTTTCGAGATTATTGTAACTCGCACGCGATTGGCTATCAGTTCAAAATGTTGGTTATTGTAGGCGATACTGTGCTGATGTTGTGACGTTAAAGATTTTCTAACAGTATACCTTAAACAATCGCGTCTTAAACGCGTTTAGTTGAAATTTTATTCAAAATTTGCTAAATATGGCTGCTGTAAGTTCTGTGAGTACTTAATAATATATATTAATTTTAGTTCGCAATCTTTTAACAGCGGTACTTCTTGTTTATGTTCTGGTTAAGGAAATAGATTTTTCTGAATATATTTATCATTTAGTAATAAATTATCTATCTAATTTATTTTTTTAGATATCAAATGTTGAAAATCTATCTCCACAAATTATTCGACGTGTAGCTAAAGAAATGAGTGAATTAGCTGCACAACCACCCGAGGGTATTCGTGTAATCTTAAATGAAGAAGATGTTACTGACATTCAAGCTATCATAGAAGGACCCTGTAAGATTAAAGCTCTCACAATTATTCTTTTTATAAAATTTCAATCAATTATTATGGACTGTTTAAGAAGTTGTATAATTTTTGAATTATAACCTATTCAAATGTCAGATTTTATATGTATATATAAATATGTCTATATTTATGTATATATTTATGCCTGTATATACATATACAGGCATAAAATTTGTCTTTATTAATTTATATCAAAGAGAATATTATTTACATAATTAATTAAAATTGTACTTACATGCAATATCAACAAAGATAATATTTTTCTTATAATATTTTTAATATTTTACCTAATTGTTGTTACAAGTTTTTATTTAATATTATTTAATTTACATAATTTCTATACATATATAATTATTGTTTCATCTATTAAGGTTTGTGTTTATCATAATATTTATAAGTTAAAAATTTAAATTCTTCTAATACCAGCGGGAACGCCATATGCTGGCGGTTTCTTCAGAGTAAAATTAGCTCTTGGAAAAGACTTTCCTCAAGGACCACCAAAGGCATTTTTCCTTACAAAAATTTTTCATCCAAATGTTGCAAAAAATGGAGAAATTTGTGTCAATACTTTAAAAAAGGATTGGAAATCAGATCTCGGAATTAAACATATATTATTAGTAAGCTATTTATAAATAAAAATATCTGATTGTAATTAATATAACTGATATAAATTATTTAATTAATTGATTAATATAAATAGCACATCTAATTACTTTATTTACAGACTGTAAAATGTCTCTTAATAGTGCCAAATGCAGAATCTGCTTTAAATGAAGAAGCTGGTAAATTACTTTTAGAAAGGTATGATGATTATTCAGAGCGAGCAAAAATGATGACAGAAATACATGCACAGGTATATATATATATATATGTATATGTATATATATGTATGTATTATATATATATATTAATGATAATATATGTATCAAATTGAATTTTATATACACAATGATAGATAACAGAAAGCAAATTTGATTTAGGGAGGTGGAAAAGGTAGCAAAGCAGGTTTGGAAAGTTGCACATCCTCTGAAGTTGGAGGACCTTTGCCTAAAAAGCATGCAGGAGATAAAAAACTATCAGCAGAAAAGAAAAAAATATTAAAAGATAAGAAGAGAACACTTAAAAGATTATAAAAAAAAAAATCAACATAATTTATCTATCTTTTATAATTTAAAACACTGGCGTGGTAACGTTGCCTCATATTGTACACAATTATTGCATAGTAAAAATTTATTATCTAAACTCGACTGATCTTATTATTAAGTATTTAGAAAATTAATAATTCTAGAAGCATTAAAAATGACTTCCTAAGATACAAACAAGTACAACTTTGTAGTGATCTACTTTACAATCAAGAGTGGAAAATAACATATACCACTCATGGTATCTATTAGTGAATATTTTTACATATGTACAAAATGATACCTCGTGTGACTATTTAAATTAAATAAAAAATGTTCTTCAAAAAAAATTTGTTTTTTTTTTAATATCCATAATTTTGCATATTAAATATAGTCAATATAATTTTATATATTTAAAATGAAAATTGTCTTTAAGAAAGATAAAATATAAATCTTTGATTAGATGGGAAATAAAAATTATTTCATTCTCAAGAACATTGTTCTTTATTAGATAATAACTCGTCAAACTTTCTTTGCTTCAGTCTTGTACCACTGCATTGCCATTCATACGCTGCATGAATAAAACCATGTACATTGTCTTACAAGTCCATTACTGCACAGTAAAATGTTTTATTAGTAGATGACTAGAGGATAACGATGTCACAGCCTTATTCCACTAGAAGCTATTAGCTACACATAGTGGTACTTTATATTATTCATAATAAAAAACAATTCATTAAAATTTACATAAATCTGATGCTACTAAACATAGTAATACACATACACATGTTATAAGGTGTTCAATGTATAAACTATGTTCAAAGATGGATTCCTAAATATTTAATATTTAATTATTCATAAAAACTAATTAGATTGAGGGCTAGAAGCACTTCTGTAGTTTGATAAACAACAACTTTTAAAGATGAATTTTACTGTATTTTTCATCTGATAACCACACACGCACGATAGTACATACAAATCCATACAGTCTTTACATCATTAACTTTTTATTATCTTTTTTTGTTTTTGTTACGGTATCATAAAAAAATCTATGAACTCCTACAAATCATTTTTCTTAAATGTCTGTAAAAATTGTATGCCAATTTTCAAAGAAACCGTCAAAAATAAAAGAGCCATTTATAAGAGAAATTTTTTATAACATTTTTCTAATGATATAGTTATACTTATTTTTATATATTCTCATGAAAATTAGGGAAACACATTGTATCGTGTTAAGTCAGATCAAAACAAAATGTTAAAAATGTGAAGGTTTGTGACGTTGTTACTTTACTTCTTTCACATAAGCTTCCAGTTCTGCATCTAATTCTTCGGCGGTAGGAGTTTTTGTCGCTTGTCGACTGCCCCCTCTGCCACCACGTCGGCCAGTTCCACGACCTATAAAAAGAAGAAAAAAAATCTATTATAAAAAATCTATAATATTTTTTGATAAATTATTTATCTTTTTTAATATAAATCAACTACATACCTCTGATGGATCCTGCTCCACGGTTACCCCTAAAGCGGGACTGAGGTCTCTGTGTATAATTACTGCCGCTAAGTCTCGGGCCTCCACGGATAGATGTGACTGGTATTTCAGAGGTAGCAACTTGTATGTTCATTTCACGACCTGCCGATGTATACCACATATTGCAATAATAGATGTGAATAGTTGTGCAAATCATAATTCACAATAACTTCTTTGAAATTTGTTTTTCTTTAATGTCATCCCATGTTGGAGTATTTATGGAAGGATAAAAGAGAAAATGCTCAAACTGTATGTTGCTAGGTATAAACTGGAGACCAGATTAATAAGTGATACTGAAACCCTAAATATAGGCGGAATTTCATAATTAAAAAGAGACATTCAAAGCAAAACTTATAGTCCAGACATAAATTTAACTACACACCATCTAAGGGTACGCCATTATATTGTTTCATTGCTTTAATAGCATCTGCTCTTCTTTCAAATATAACATCTGCAGAGCCTAATGATCGACCTGACCTATCGTAATGCACTGCTGCTGACTTTAAGGGGCCAAATTCACTAAATAATTCCTAAAGAAACACACAAATATACAACATTATTATAAAAATATTTAAATTATATTTAATAATTAAAATATATACTAAATAAATAATATTAAATAATTATACAATATTTAATTACTAAATTAAATTATACAATGAAATTTTAATTTCATTTTTTTTTAAAATTTAAATTTTTAAAAATATAAAATTTATATTTCTTGTAAACTTTAAATTGAAATTTATATTTATATTAATTTAATTAATTTTAAGATAATATATTAATAAAAAAATTTAACAATTTTATATAAGATACCTGAATATCTGAATCTGATACTCCAAAGTCAAGATTTGATACAAGAAGCTTGGTTGTTCCTGCGCTACCTATTGCACTTCGGCCAACCTTTTTTACTCCATCAAACATGTCGTGTTTCCATGCACTGTTTACATCACCCTATAAATGAGATTATATAAAAAGATATATTTCTTATAATATAAGTATTCAAATATATAATATTAGTTTCATGTGCATTTTGATAAACTAAAATTTAAATTAACAAAAAAATATTTTACATATTATTTATTAAAAATTTTGCATTATTTTTGATCTAGTAAGTTAAAATATTCTATGTTTTTATATTAATATTCAAAAAGATAAACAATCAAATGTATGAAAAAGTAATACACATGAACGTCCTTAAAATCATTAAACGATTCTATTATAAAAACGCATAGTTCAATAATTTTTTCAAGAATTTAAACTGAATAATCTCTTACAATAAATAAAGTATCAATATAATAGAACAAAAATTATATCAATTATATTCTTATTTCATAAAATATTATTTGATTTTAAAATACGATCGTTAATCTATCTACAGATTAAACTATTTCGTACATAAGATAAAAATAATATGATAGTTTTTGATATATGATACACGTGACAAAGTAAATATAATGTAAATAGCAACAAGAAAAAGAAATAATTTCTTACCCTTGTGTATGGAAGAGAATTTCTTGTAATGCCACCACGATTGCGTCCCCGCATGACGCCACCAACTCTTTGCGTTCTGCGTGCTCCTCTACGAGGTGAATTACCGGCACCTCTTCCCCGTCTGCCAGTGCCGCCACGTGGTCTACTTCCTTTATTTTGCTTGATAATATCATCAAGACTCATGTCTATTTTATCAACCATCTTCATTTGTGCTGATTTTCGAGTAATGACACGGCCACGCGAAAATGAATAAAACCAACCTCTTTCGTCTTCGTAATGATGGCGGCGAACGAAGACGAAACAAGCGCGCACAGAAACCTGGGAATAAAGACCGTAGATCATAGAATGATTCCTTAGAAACACCAACTATATATATTATAACTGTATCCTTTATCGATTAGAGCGCTCTCTAGTAATAACTTATCAAAACAAAATAATAATAATTTTTTGAAATTATTAAATAAATATTACATTTTTTATTAATGAATTATATTCATTTTTTTATTAAATTAGGTTATAATAATATTTAATTTAATTATGTACATAAATATATTTCTTTATTATAATTTTATATTATTATATATCAGTGTATATGTTTTAATTTTATATTATTATATATCAGTGTATATTTATTTTTAATTTAATATCAAACAAAATTAAATTATTTTTTTAGAAAAATGAACTTATATTTCAAATTTATTAATATTTATTTAAATATTTTTTTGTACTTTATTTCTTTCTTAAATATTACATTATCCATTTTATTAGATTAAAATAATATATTTAATTTTTAATCTTTTGAATATCAAAAATATATATATATATATATGCAGATACAAATGTATCATTTTTTCCTATACAATTATTATAGTTCATCATTTTCTTCATTTATGTCATTTTTTTCAATATTATCCTGATTAATATTTGTAGAATTGCATAAATTTGCAATATTTGTGCATAACTGTTCATTAACATCATTTTTTTTATGAATAAATAATGAAATTATAGAATCTTCAAATTCTTCTACTATTCCTTCACACTAAAATAAAAAATAAAAAATATTAATTTATATAATATTTTAAATCATTTATTATATTTCTAAATAAAATCAAAATACTTACATAATATTTTAAACTTTTATTTAAATCATCATCTTGAATAATATCAACTTTACTCATTTCAGGATTCATAGCACCAGATGGACTTATTAAATTTAAGATTGTTAATTCACCATTTGACTTATATGTTGCTCTTACATAGTCTGACATTTTTTCACAAATATTATCCAAAATATCTGATACATATACTTCAGATTGTGCAAGAGGAATCTTTAAATTATTTAAATATTTATTTGAAACATGTTTTGATTATAATATAAAATTAAAGAAAAAAAAAATTATCTCTTATTACCTTTTTATGAATAATATTTCCTTGTGCATCTAATCTGTAATTACCTATTTCAATTTCTCTTGCAGGATCAATTTTTGCTAGTTCTCCTTCAATTTCTTTCATTGTTGATCTACAAACTATATATTGTAAATATTAATTTATTATAATAGTTTGTTATACTTAAAATAAATAATTATAATTTATAATAATTTAATATTAATTATTTAATTAATTAATTAACACTTATGATTTTGCTTACCTAAACATTTTAAAAGCTTATTATCAATTTCCTTTGATTCGACAAAAATATGTATAAATAAAAGAGAAAATATTGTTAAAATTTTCATCTACAATAAAAATATCATTAATAGATAATTATATTAAAAATAATATCCAAAAAAATAAAATTAGAGAATTTAAGTTATACTTACATTATATTTAATCAACATGTTAAATGATATTTAATTAATTTATAAAATAAAATATTCAATTTTTTTGATAATTGAAAAAGACACGTGTGTAATACTTATAAGATCATATATATGTATATATTATCTGTCATTGCATGTAGTCTATAACATTAAATTCGGTAAAACACGAATGAGCTATCATCACGTGTAATTTCGAGAAATACCAAAATAAAAATATAAAAACACTATTAAACTGAAAAAAATAACAATATTATTCATAAATATATGATAAAATTTTTTAAATATTTTATAATTAAATAAATTTTATATTATTTACACAAATACATATCATATATAGAAATACAAAACTTATTTATTGTTTTTTTATTATCTTATATCAATCTTAAATAATTTAATCTTAAAAAATTGGAATTTTATTATTCAAATATAATATTAAAAAAAATATTTTTTTTTCTTTCTTATTTTTTATTTCTTAAAAAATTTTATATATAGAAATATATAATATGTATATATACATTCTTCATAGACTGAAGTTCATGGATCATTCCATTTGTTACTGTGATGTAAACACGTGCCATCCTTTTAAGTGGGAAGTCCATGTTGCTTTTTAAATTGAACTATCATATTTTAATGTTTTATATAAAATTACACTCACTTATACATTTTGAAATATTTCTATATAAATAGTGATTATAATTTTATTCTCTTGAAATTTATATTTGTAGTATAACTTTTAATATAATAGATAAAATAATTATGCAAAAATATTACAAATATAATGGAGATACTAATAAAAAAAGTGTATAAATATTTATAAAGTTTTGTTAATAAAAATTATTTATATATACTACTTATTTTATTCAGCGATTTGTATTTAAAAATACGCATTAAAAACTTATTTTTACTAATTACTATGCTAAATTTAATGTTTATTGTGATTAATTTTTCCAATTTAAAAGTTGTTTAAAAAAATAAAGCTATGATATCGTGTGATTTAGGTACAAATTAAGATAATATTGTGCTTTAGTTTTTTATATTAAATATGATTTAAATTATAATATAATTTTGTCATAAAATGGAAATGTGGTGGTTTTCTCGAGTAATAGCTCATCATCCTTATACCATTCTAATGATAATACTTATTTTTTCTTCAACATGCTTAATTGTTCCCTTAGCTATTAAAAAATTTCCAGACTTCTCAGATCCTCAGTTAGTAAGTATACATAATTAAAATATAAAAATAATATATGTAAAATAATATATTTTCTTTATAGTTACTCTATAATATTTATTAATATTAATAATAATATTTTCTCTAATTTATATTTTTTTATAATGTTAAAGGGATTTGAAGCAAGAGGTACAATATTAGCACAAAGACTTATTGCTTGGCAAAATTTATTAGAATCAAATAAACCAAGAGGACAATTAGTTGATAATCCTTTAGAATATTATCATTATGTGCAACAATTAAATCAACAGGTATTTTTATTAAAAATTATTAATACTGTAATATTATAATATTAATTTATATATTTAATTTATAATAATAATTTTATTATTTAATAATTTAATAATTTATAATAATAATTTATATACTTAAGTTGTTCTATAAATATATTTAGAAAATAAGTATCAGATTATCAATATCGATTATCAATAATCTAATATTATAATCTAATATATTTTAGAATTTACAGAATCCTATTATACAAAATTATAGTTGGATTGAAAAAAAACCTAAAAATAAGAAAAAAGGAGGAAAGAAATATCAAAAACAAATTAATAAAGAAGAAATAGATAAAATTGAAATTAAAGATAAATGGGAAGAATTAATAGAGTTAAAAAACAAAAATAAATTAGATATGACAAAGGATTATAAAAGTCAAGATTATATTGATAATGAGAATTTTTTTTGTAATTTGCCATCTTCTGCTTATGCACGTGTTGTTATTGGCAGAACCTCTAAAGATTCAAATTTATGGTCAATGGAAGGTGTATTAGCACAATGTTATATTGATGCAGAGCTTAGATCAAATTCACATTTTTCTTCTTTATGTCAAATGTCAATAGAATATAACAATTCAAGGCAAAAATGTTGTAGAAGTTGGTCTCCAGCAAATTATGTTGCACTTCTATCTAATCGAAGTTCTTGTTTGGGTGTAACAGAAAATGATCTTAGTCGTGTTGAAACTCTTTTAAAAAGATGTATTTATTATTATCAAAATCGTCGTTTAACATTAAATTGTGCAGAAGATTTAAATTGTCAAAAACATGTTCCAATTGAATGCTATATGCATAATGCAGCATATCATTTGTTGCATTACTTATTGGATACTGATTTTATTTTGGATCGAGTAAGAGAATTAATTTCTATATATTTCTGTATATTCTATATATAATTTATTATGAATATTAAGAATAATTACTTATATTTTTTTCAGGAGCAAGATCCTCAAAATAAGTTAAATTCGACATTAAAATATGCAATGTTATTTTTACCAATTGCTGCAAGCTCAGCTACTTTAGATTTTTATAAAGGATTAAATGATGTTGATTTATCTTATGGAAAATTTTGTGTAAAGGGAATGCATTTGGGTTTAAAAAGTATATTGTTTGATCGACTGTTAGTGTCAGATTCTATTTTATTACTTACTGGTTTTACCTTTGTAACAATTTGTATATGGGCATATACTGGTTCTTTTTTATTAACTGTTACAACCATTATTGCAGTAATTTTTAGTCTTGGCATTTCATATGCATTTTATACTTTACTTTTGCATATAAAATTTTTCCCATTTATGAATCTCTTGGCAATTGTTGTTGCTGTAGGTAAGAAAGTGTATATGATAATTAAATTTTCAATTTTAAAAAATCAAATCATTTAACATGCAATTTTATTTTTTTTAAGGAATAGGTGCAGATGATGCATTTATATATTGCAAAATTTGGGAAAGAGGTAAAGAACAAAAAATATCAAATAATGGATTAGTCAGACTGGTACAAGAAACAATGAAACATGCTGTTCCATCTATGTTTGTTACATCTTTAACTACTGCAGTAGCATTTTTTGCATCAGTTGTTAGTAATGTTACTGCTATAAATTGCTTTAGGTATATATATTTAAAAATAACTATTTAACTAATATTAAAATATTTAAAGAAAAATAAATAAATTTGAATATTACTAATACAAATCTTTAGTTTATTTTCAGGAATGACTGTTATTGCAAATTTTTTTTTAATGATTACTTGGTTACCAGCATGTGTCGTAGTATCAGAACGATTTAAACTTGGTATTTTATCTCCCGCGAATTTTATAACACGAAAAATTGTTAGACCTTTACGACTATTTGGAGATAAAATAACGATAAGTTTTAATTCTTTTCTTATAAAGATAGTTATTAATTTTCGATGGTGCTGGTTATTCAGTTTGGGTATTGTAGCAATAATATGTTGTATTATTGTTTTCCAATATCCTGGTTTACAATTGCCAGATACTGCTGATTTCCAATTATTTGATAGTTCTCATCCATTTGAAAAATATGACTTGATATATGCTCGAAAATTTTGGTTTGAGAAATATGAAACAGTATGTAAAAAAATATAATATTTCTTAAGATATATCTTTTTGAAAGATTTTAAAATAATTAACAATTACAGATTGATAATGGAGATATGTTGCCACTAAGATTTGTATGGGGCGTTAAACCAATCGATAATGGTAATTATTTAGATCCTGGTTTAATTGGTACACCAGAATGGGATGAATCTTTTGATGTATCTCATCCAGAATCACAATTATGGCTTGAAAAATTTTGCCATGATTTACGAGCACAATCTTTTTATCGTAATACGTTAGGACCTTTACTTCCTAACTGTTTTATTGAATCATTACGTAAATGGATGCAAAGACGTTGTGAAGACCCCATTGATCCACATATTAATTATATGCCATGTTGTGAAAAAAGTAAATTTCCATATAATTCAACCACTTTACAACGATGTGCAGCTGAAGCTAATGCAGGATTATATCGTACTCCTTCATATTTATGGGTTCGCAATGGTGTTTTTGCTGGTTTAAAATTTTTAAGAGAACCGAATTCAACACAATTACAAATATCAAATGAAACAAATTCAGTAATAATGCCAACACTTAAAATTAAAGCTTTAATTGTTGAATATGATAGCATATATAATTACAGTCTTTCTTTTTCAAATATGGATCAATTTTTTCATCAGGTATGTGTGTGTATAATATGTGCATATATATATGAAATACATTGTATTTTTTGTTGTGTTGTAAATAATTATAATATAATTAATGAAATCTAAAATAATATTTTGTAGGTTGAAACATGGATGCAAAATCAATTAAAAAATGCTCCATTAGGAATGCGTGGTGGTTGGTTTGTTAGTAGATTAGAATTTTATGAATTACAACGAACATTGTATGAAGGTACTCTTTGGGCAATGGGAGTTTCATTGATTCTAGCTCTCATAGTATTGGCTTTTGTGACATTTAATCCTCTTATCAGTTTATATGCAATTATAACAATTGGTGCAGCAATTATAGTAACAATTGCTGGTTTGATTCTTCTTGGGTGGAAATTAAATGTTTTAGAAAGTATTACAGTATCTACAGCAATAGGTACTTTTTGATATAATTAATAATTTTAATTTATAAAATATATTATTTATTTATTTATTTATTTATTTATTTATATATTAAATATTAATTATTAATATATACATATATAATATATATATTATTTTTAGGTTTAACTGTAGATTTTAGTTTACACTATGTAGTAAGTTATAGAGCATGTACTTCTAAAGAGAGAGAGGATAGAGTAAAAACAGCTCTTACACAAATGGGTGGTCCAACTTTAATGGCTTGTCTTACAACTGGTGCTGCTGGTGCTCTTATGCTACCTTCATGTGTATTAGCATATATTCAAATTGGTATATTTTTATTACTTGTAATGGGAATAAGTTGGATATATGCTACATTTTTTTTGTGTCCAATATTAGCAGTTATAGGTCCATCATCTCATTTTGCTCAATTTCAATATCCTAGGTAAATATATTATTGTAAGTATTTTAATTTTAATTTTTTTTTTCATTAATTGGATGTTGAAATTATTACAGATTAAATTTATTATGGAATTATCTTCGTAAAAACAAGTCTGGAAATGTGCCTGATTCAAGTACAGATAATAATAGGGCTAGAAGAAAGATTAAAGGAAGAGGAATGTGGTCAGAATCTACTTTAAGTACATCTAGTACAGTATGTCAATTTCATTGTAATGAAATAGAAACTTTTACTAGACCACCGCCATCACCATCATTACCTCCATCTCCATCATCAGCATTACTTCAATAAGATAAAGGTTAAATAATAAGATGGGTATATATTTTAAAGAAAAAAAAAAAAATTCTAATTATGATATTCCATAAACTCTTCCAAATTTTTAACAATGAATTTATTATTCATGTGTAACTTATGTCACATATAATCTATGATCATGTGTCACTAATGTGTCATTGGCTGTGTTCAAAATAGTTTTAAGATAATTATTTATATCTATTATTAATTCATTGGGCTTCCTATATCAGTTACGCAAATATATGCATATATTATATTATATCCATTGTGATATAAATCAGGCTTTAAATGCCAAATATATCGCAGGCTGTTTTATATTTTATGATTTATTTTAAATCTCAATTTTTAATAAATTGAAACTGTATTTTATGTTTATATATCTAAAGTAACTGATAATATTGATAAAATGTTATACTATAGACTTGCATTTACATATCTATGAATGCATTTTAATTTTTTTTTTTATTAAAATTTGTATAAAATATATTTGTAATTTTGTTTTATGTAAATATAGATTTTTTTATATGCGAATATTAATAAATTTAATTATTTCTAATTTAATTTAAAATAAATTGATATATATAATTTAATATGCTTTATTGATAATTGTATTATATAACTTTATATTTATTATATATTATTAAGAAAAATTAAATATATTATTTGAATAAGTTTATCAAATTGATAATTCAAAGATTACATACAGAGACTGTTTAATTTCTAAATGAAATATTATAATAAATTTAATAGAGTGAATGAATTTGTTATATATTTAGAAATAAGAGAATATTGAATTAGTTGTTTTATTGAATAATGCTTTCAATTTTATAGAAAGATGTATGTGTGTATGTCTGCAATTAAATTTAAGAAAAAATAACGGAATGTGTTATTATACATGATTTTATTTCAAGATTATTTATATTTATAAACTATATAAACTAGTTATAAAAAAAAGACTGACAAATTTATATAATTTTCATAGATGATATTGAATATGCAAAAAAAGTTTAAAATAATTTTTTTTTTCTTAAAATTTTAATTGTTTTTTAAATATTTTAAAAAGTTTTAGTTTTATTTAAATAAATGTTCATTATTCATTAATTTCTGATATTTAAGATAGTTTTTATATCTATGAACATTATATCAAGTTTTTATTTTTATCAAGTTTGAAATATTAAATATTATGTACATAATACAACAAATAAAAACTTATTTTTTACACACATTTCGTTATAAAAAGAAAAAGGTACAAATCAACAATTTATGTAATACTATATCATGCTTTGGAAAAATATATATTTATGCTGTTAAAGAAAATCCATTTTTATAATTACTGTAATATGTGTTTATCAATTATTTAAATATTTATAACTATCATATGTTAAGAATATTAATATAATCTAGAATGCATTGGCAATCTTTAATATATCTATATATGTGTGTGTGTGTATGTATGTTATAATATATTATAGTAATGTATGTTATGTATTTCATGTTAATGCGCATCTTCGTTAAAACAAATATTTATTCAACATAAACTATGTTAAATATGTGAGAATACTATAAAAAATGACTAATTTTCACAATAATCCCATTCACATATTCTCGATAAAAATATTTAGTAAACTATTTGAAATAACGATCATTTAGTATCTACAGATACAAATATATTTTGAAAAATTATTGTTTTATAAAACGTTACTTTCAGAGATTAAAAATATATTTCGATGAAATTGCCTTTATTGACAAAATTTATAGAGAATCAAAAAGTATATGGATGTGTATCTATATGTGTAAATATATTAAAACATACATATTAATATGATTAAACTAAAAATTTAAATTTAATTTAATATATTTATTAATTTAAGTTACTTTATAAATGTATCTACCTGCGAAACAGGGCGTGAAAAAAAAAAACATTGATTTAAAAGATTCGATTACTAAAGTATAATGCTTCTTAATTATATTTTAAGTATTTATACACGACGACGACGTTTCAATAATATTGGACTTATAGGATCAGTTAATGGTCGTTTTTCGACTTTTGGTAATTCTATTTTATATCTTCGAATCGGTTGAGCTTTATGAACAATTTGTTTTCGTAGCTGTGCGATTTCTTCTTCCTCTTGTTTCTTTTTAGCAGCAATTTCCTATTATTTCCATTTTATTATTGTATGCATTATAATCTTGAAAATAGAATATATTATTAACGAATAATAATATTATAGAATACTTTACCATTTGTTTCTGTAAGTCTTTTTGTCTTTGTTTTTCTTTTATAATCTCATCAAAGCGTTTTCTTTCTATTGCTCGAATTTCTGAGTGTAAAGGTCCTATTTTTGGTGGTTCTAACTTCTTCTTTGATAAACATGGTGTAAACGGCGGTTTTTTCCAAAGCTAGATTATTTAATAAAATTAAAAATATTTCATTAAATTATTTAATAAAAATATATTTATTATTTATATAATGTATAATATATAAATTAATTAATAATATTATATAATAAGTATTAAAATTAATAATTAATTAAAAACATACATATAATTGATTTCAAATAAAATTTGTTTAATTATATACCTCGGTATTCTTTTTAATTTGCTTATTGGGAACATTAACTTTTTGATTTTTTTCGTTTTTATTGTTACTTATTGGTTCAATTTTAATTCGATTTTTTATAAACTTTGGAATGGGATTTGCATGAAATATTTTTATTTTTTTCTCTTCTTCCGATATCTAAAAATAATGAAAAAAATCACAATATTTTTTAATATCTTAATATATTTATAACAAAAATTTGTATACCTTTTTAATGTGTTTTTGTTTTTGTTCTTCTTTTTGTTTCTGCATATTTTTTGATCGTAAATCAAAAGAAAATGGATGTATCTTAACATTCTGTGATTTTTGTACTTTATTACAAATCTCAGTTTTAACGTTAGATTCCTAAAATGTTAATCTCAATTTAATCAATTTAAATAATATTATTTATACATTATCAACGTTACACACCTGTTTAATGCTAACATTATGTACTACGTATTCTTCTTTTTCTTCTTTTTCTTTCTCTTGTTGATTGACATATAATGGGTTTTCATATACTTGATTAATGCTAACATCATGCACTACGTTTTCTTCTTTTTCTTTCTCCTTTTGATTAACGTATAACGGGTTTTCGTATACTGTTTCATTTTGTGTTTCAGACAAAGAGAAATTTTTTAAAGATCTACGAAAGAATTAAATGATATCTTTTTTCTTATTATTGGATAGAAAAAGAAGATAAAAAAATATATTATGTTTGGAAATTCACAATTGTAATTCTTACGTGATCAATGAATCGTCTTCTGTAACTATATTCGGAAGTTTTTCGTTTGCAAGATTTGGATTTGGTGTACTTACAACTACAGTTACTCTATCTATACATGATCAAAGAATCGATCAATTTTATTAATCAAAATTGAATAAAACGAAATAGAAAAATTTTGAAAATTTTTAAACGTCTTCTATTCTTTAAAGATATCGTTCATTACTTACTAAAAAATGAATCTCCAATATCGGGTAAATTTGAAAAATCGACAAATTGCGGTGATTGGATTGCATCCCATTTCTCATCTTTTTTCGAATTTTTATTCTTGTGCCAATCATCATCTTGACATTCCGGTTTGACATTCTCCTTCTGCCACAATTTTCGAGGTGGTACTTTTACAGTATTCTTGGAGTATGTTACCGGTGTTATAGCTTGTCCATATTTTATATTCATCAATTTTGTGGGTGCGTGCATTATCTAAGATTCCAGAATCTTATCAATTTTGTTATGAAACAAATATAGAATTGATTATATTTTTCACAAAATTTAAAAAAAAAAGAATTTTTACTCTCTCATTACTTTTAATAATAACTTAAAAATCATCCAATGCTTTATTTCGAAATTGACTAAATACTTTACAACTGTGATTCGTATGTTTATTATTATGAATAGGTCAAGTTGAACTTAATTTCTGGAGGAAACGAAACACATGAGAATAACAATGAATAATGATTATAAATATTGTTCTATGAAAAAAAAATAGGTCGTAAAAAAATTATATATTAATAAAAAAATATATCGAATTCAGATTTATTCGTTTTTTATATATAATTCATTAAAATTGTACGATATTTTATAAATATTATAAAATTAATATGTAAAAATAATTATATTTTACGTATTGTAACGTAACATTATAGTAAATATAACGAATTGCGCGCGATCATTGATATTATGTACACGTGAATATTTCTATGGATACAAATGTTCACAACAAAGCAGGGGCCACATCGTTGAATCGTTTTCTCTAAGTAAATTTGTTAAATATGATTAATCTTTCTTTTATTCGACAATCGCAATACTCATTTGCTTTTGTTTCAAAAAGGAATTATTTTAAAAATCTCAACATCCTTGTGATGACATCTTTTAAAAAGAGAATTCAACGATGAATTCTAATATTGAAAATAATATTTCGATTTAAAAAAAAACTACGAATATGCATAGCTTACGGTAAGAAAAAAAATTAATTTCTCCTTCAATTTCTTTACTTTATTGTTTAAAATTAATCTAATCACTCGATTTTAAAATGCAATATATATATATATATATAGATTTTGAAACGTTTTATAAATCTAATTTTTATTATCTATAATTTTCAGAGGTGAACACAATATTAGCAGCTTAGGTACGAGTCGCTGGTTAGAGGCTCTTTGGGAACCAGCTGCCAAATTGCACACTTTACCAAATGGATTAGATATGCTCGATGTAAGCGGCGATGGAGATGCAAGGCTTGTCTGTGCTGATTTGGGAGCTCTCGACGTCAATTCGCCTAAAGTGAGATACAATTTTTAATAATTAAAAAATATCATTGATATCGTACATCTTTCCCAAATATATACGTCCTATAAAATATAATCTCTAATTAATATTACACACGTTTATACAAATCATTTTCAGATACGAGTTTACAAAGGAGGCGATCAGATAACCGAGCACAACATGGTAGATCTACCTTGTGGGGTGGTCGGTTTTTACACGCAAAATGGAGAACCTCGATCCTCCGTAGTGGCAGTGGGTGTTGGCTCTAGCGTCTACATCTTTAAAAATATGAGACCTTATTTTAAATACTGTTTGCCGCACATCGAGGCACATCCAAAAGAACGAGAGGTACAGAAAATTCTTCTTCCCCTAAATTTAAAGACAAATACTTTTTCGATTTACAAAATTGAAGGAAAAAATCTGTTGATAGATTTGGCACAAGGCTGGATTGGACGAGGAATTGAACGTGCTCACATTAGCCGACGAATTGGATCTTTTGTTAAAGGAACTTGGAGCTGGATTTATTTCACCGAGAACGTTGAAATTCTTATGCATGGATAAGAATTTGAGAGCTAGTTTCGCAGAACAGTACAGAAGGATTCCACTCGTTAAAAGTAACGCCTTAACTGCGATTTCTGTGATTCGAAGAGATTCGTGGAACGATCCGGCAAGTAGTTGTCTCGTACTGGGTACGGAATTTGGAGAAATACTTATATTGGATCCTCGGTATTTCATTCATTTTTATTCAATTATATATTTTTTTTGTATAATTAAAAAATAATTAAGTAAATTACGAAATGTCTATTTGTTTTAGAACGTTCTCCATTATGGATAAACATTTATTGCAATGGCCACCGGTTGCTTTTGCGTGTATAGGTTTATGGACAGGTGATGGAAGAGTATTAATTATCGGAAGGGACGGTAGAATTGGTATGATAAGGAGGGGAAGTTCTGTCAAACTTTGGGAAAAATTATCGTCACCTGCTGTAGCCATTTCAGCCCTTAATAACGAGGGCATCGCGGTTACCACGATGGATGGCACTTTGATCGGTTTCTCCAGAAAGGTATACAAAGTATTTTTTTTTTTTATTTCGAATATAAATCATAGCCGATGAATTAATCCGTAACAGGGAATTAAACTTTGGCACGTTCGCGTTCCGGGAGCAATTTTGGATTCGATAAGTTTACCAGTTCCTCAAATTGGACTCTCTTTGCTTGCTGTGAGTACAGCTGGATATGGTATCCGTGTATACGATGGAAAGCATCATGTAGACACGTTGAAGATTATGGAACCAGTTTCAGCTATGAAGGTATACCATATATCTAGGAGAAAAATTATTTTTTAAGCTAAATATTAATGATAATTGTATTCTTCTTTTTTTTTTTTCTTTTTCTTTGAAATAGTACGGTAAAATGGGTCAAGAAGAACGAACAATGGCGATGGTCACCGTAGGAGGTGGCCTCTGCGTGAAGATTTTGAAACGCACCGCCGATTTCAGTATTCACAATGCAATGTCCGATCTACCGATCAACGATGGTTCTAAATTTCTGATACCGAAGAAAACGCGATTGTTCGTCGAGCAAACGATACGCGAAAGATCAGAAGCCAAGAAGATACACACTACTTTTCAGCAAGGTCTACTTCGATTGAGATTAATGGTAGCCAAGAAGGTAGTCGAATCTTTGAACGATAGTCAAGACGCTGGATCGCACTCTCTTACCGTGGAAGCTACAGTTTTAGGATTGGGACCTCATTATCAAATTCGCATTTTGCTGACGAATATATCCGACGAATTGTCCGACACGGATTTGTACATCGTTTGCAGGAGTGAGAACATAGAAGTGAAACCACGTGTGATGGACGTGCCTCTTTTACCGAGCGGTGTTCCAATTCCATTTATCGTTAACGCGATTTTGAACGGTAAAATATCGGGAAGAATGGAGATTTTGGTGTGTAAGAAGTCGAGAACGAAACCAGTTACCGTAACGACAGTGATTTTACCTGCTCCTGAAGAAGATATCGAAGTTTAATGTATTATAACGAAGTTATCTAAGTCTTGGAACCTGTGAGAGAAATCTGTGAGAGAAAATTTCCCATGTATTTTATTTAAATGTTGATACATTTTTAAAAACGTTTATGAATATATATATATATATATTCATATATATATATATAATATAATATATAAATAATATAATATAAATATATATATATAATTATATAAATATTGATAAATTATAAAATTAATTTTTGAATTAATATTTTATCTATTTTTCATTAAAATTATATGATATTAAGTTTTTGTTGCCTCTATTAAATATTAAGATATATTGTTTTCGAAAAAAAAATAATAAAAATATTTTTCGATTTAAATCTCGTATGATCGCGCGCTAAAATTAAGTAGAATGTGCTAGACAAGGAGAAACTATGCGAGAAGGACAGAGATAGTGTAAAAATATTGAAATCAGCGCCATCTTCAGAGTGCCGCAAATTAAACACAAATAAAAAAGGATAGAAGATAGCGAGAAAAGGATAGAGAATAAGAATTGACCGTTAACGCCATCTTTCGGACATCAAAGACACTTTTTCGAAAGATAGGATAAAGTAGAGGTAAAAGGAGGATAAAGTAGAGTAGGAATCGAAGTTTAACGCCATCTTTTGAGTGTTAAGAGAACTTTGAAGAAAAGTTTACTAAATACTCGAGAGATGGCGCCAGCAGTTCGATTTTTACTCTATCTCTATCCTTTTCTTACTATCTTCTGTCCTTTTTTCGTGAGTTTCATTTGCGGCACTCTGAAGATGGCGCTGATTTCAATATTTTTACACTATCTCTGTCCTTCTCTCATCATTTACTTTCCTTGTCTACATTCACTCTACAAATTCATGCGTTCGAAAGACGGAATCTATCTGAATTAACTTTATTGCCTTCTTTACTTCTAATCGAATTGATTGGGGAAATTTTAAGAATTTATTCAATATATTTTATATATATATATATATATCTATTTTCATATATTTATGTACATATATCATATATATATTTTTAACCCGTTTTCTAAATAAAACATTTAGAAAAATATACCATCAACTAGACATTTAATTCTTATTTTCATATTTTCTTATAAATAATTTAAATAATATAAATAAATATAAATTTTTTCTATTCCATCTTTCGAAATTACGTAAAATATATGATATATTACAATTTTATACTACACAAAGCGTTCGATATTGAACAGAATATTTAAAAAAAAAAAGAGATTATAATGTATTCAATATAGATAGATATCCTTATAACATAAAAATTTGTCAATCTCAACAAAATAAATGCTAATAGTGATTTTCTAATATTTCAGATAACTGTCGTTCTACCTAACATCAGAACCAGGAAGAAATCGGCGGAAGAGGAAGATCTACGGAGAAGATCGCGGTAGATCGGTTTTCACGCCACTTGGAACAACAACCATTGGCATCCGCGAAACGAGCGTTTGATCGAGCTCTCCGATACCGGCGGCCATACGATTTACTGTCATTCGCGCGTGCGAACACCGGCCTCTAGATAGAGAGAAGATCCTCCCCCCCTCTGAATCGTAGTACCTCTATCGGTGCACGATTGCGTTATGTTGCCGCTAATTTGGATTTATGTTCGCATTCGCACGTCGCCCGATGGCTCGCGCCGCCACCGACAGAATCTCTTTGATCGAATCCCCCCTTCCCCCTCTTTTTCTCCCCTTATCTCGTTCACAGAAAATTCTGCGAATTCGTTGTACGAACAGAGTGGAGGGGAATCGAAGTGGGAATTTTTTTTTTTTTTTGGAAGGAGATGAAACATTTTCCTTATAAAATTATTGAGAGAAAATTAATTTTAAAAAAAATTTTACATTTATCGATAAGTGTTTATTTTTTTTTCAAATTTGAACATAAAACAAAATAGACG